AGTAGGAATTTGGACATGTACTGAAGTAGTCCAAGCATAAAGTAAGTTCTGGAAATGAAGCAAATTTCAAGAATTCTTTTCCCATGGATATTGATATCCGTATTGTAGTTTAGAAATAAACTACAAAATGTACTAAGCACCCACTTATCCAAAATTTAAAATTGTGTTGTTTGACAAATGTTAACTATCTCACAAGAAATTTTTCATGAGTTTACATACAGTGTCTATCTCTAACATATTATCTAAGACATAACCGGAGGTATTATATTGTGTGAAATGGAAAAATGCTATGAGTATTGAAGTGTAGATATTAGAGAATAACCAAAAATGGAAGGTGATGGACCTACCTAAGGAAAAACAAATTGTGAATACAAATGGGTGTTACTATGAAGTATAAAATTGGTGATACAATAAAAAGATACAAAGTCGGGCTAGTGACCAAATGATATATCCGGATTTATGGAATAAATTATCAATAGACATTTGCACTTGCAACCAAGATGAACACAATCTAATTACTATAATTTTCAGTTGCCAACTATGAACTGCAACTGCAACAGTTTGATATGAAGAATATGGAGACATATAGGAGGAAATATAAATAGATATCTTACCAGGATTTAGAGAAAATATAGGAACCAGCAAAGTTTGAAGATTATAAAAGGCTCTATATGCACTCAAATACTAAATGAAAGTATGGTCTGGAAGGTTCAAAAAATGATGTTAGTAATGGAATACAAGCAAAATCAAGGAGATCAAACCCTGTTCATTAAGCACTCAGATTCAAAGGGAGTTATAACCTTGCTTGTGTATGTCGACGACATTATCGTGACAGATAACGATAAAAAAGAGATTAGTACTCAAAACATTACTTGGCAAAGAACTTAGAATTAAAGAACTAGAGAAACTCAAATACTTCACTAGAGTTAAAGTAGCCTACTCAAAACAAAGAATTTTTATCTTACAGCAAAGTGCATTAGTGACCTTCTAAAAGATATAGACTAGCTAGAATGAAAACTTGCCGGCATAACAATTGATCCCAACCATTAATCTGAATTAACAAAAAAGGACACAACAATTACAAGGAGATATACCCAACGCTAGTAGGGAGACTTACCTATTTGTAACATACAATAATATAAATTGCGGATATGGTAAGTGTGATAAGTCACTTTATGCACCAATCCCAAAGAAATGCATTTACAGAACATTATGAGCGCTACAATATCTTAAAGGAACAACAAGAAAAAGTATCATGTTCAAAAAGAATATTGGATTATTCTTAAAAGCTTATATTAATGTCGACTATGTTGGGTCAGTAATGGATAGAATATCTATTACAGGTTATTACACATTCGTTAGAGCAAATTTAACCAGATGGAGACGTAAAAAAAGATTGTGGTAGTAAGATTTAATGCAGAATCAGAATTTTAAGCAATGACACAAGGAGTTTATGAGTTATTATGATTAAAAAATTATCTTGGAAGACTTAAAAGATTAAATGGGACGACCATACGAGAGTCTATTGTGACAAGTCGACAATCAACATTATCTATAATTTAATACAACATGGTAAGATAACATATATTAAAGTTGACAAACATTTCATTACATAGAAGCTAGATACTGGTTTGATTTGCACATCCTACATGTCTACTAACTCCCAACTTATAGACATGCTCACCAAAAGCTTGAGCAATTCAACATTTCAGACAATCATTGCCAATGTGGAAATGAACAATATCTGTTCACTGACTTAAGGGGGAGCATTTGAAAGTGTATATACGTAATTTGTATGTGAGGGTATAATAATAAAATACACCTACATATTTATGTTTTAGGTATCCTTTTCTATACTCTCATGATCCTATGTTAACCTCATAAGGTGGAAACCTTCTCTAATGCATCTCAAACAAGTATTCCAAAGAAAATGAGATTCATACATTGACCTGTCTTCCAGATAATACTGGGAGGGAAAATAAGAGGGGGGAGGGGACAACAATGAGAAGTATGTGACAACTAGACAAAGAAACTAGTTTGTCATGCTTAAGATTCAACTACTTCCACACAATTCTGGCCAGTGTAAGAGGATGCAGAAGCAAACAATTATCCTAATCTCACTCAAACAACTTCCAACCATTGAAAGAACATGGTGCTGTGGTTATCTTATAGTATCAAATGTAATTAAAGCTCTACTTCCTTGCAAAACCTGAAACTTCACTGATATAAAAGCGAACTAAAAGATATTTAATCTAACTTCACGGTTTAGGAGTTGTTTTTAAGTTACTCCCTCGCACAGCTATGTGACATCAATAGAAGTTGAACAGTTAGCAGCCTATACATATTTACATAACTTTAACCTAATACATTCAGATCTGCTGTGAGAACTCTCTTTTTGTTATGCCATATAATCCTGGATTTATCGGAATGACTTGTTTTTCTCAATTCTAATTTCTCCCCCCGAGATAATCTATCTTACCCTACAGGATTTTAGTTAAAGTTAGAATATGTTAGATTTACAAGATCAACAATTAAAGAAGCCAAAAATAAAATTTAAGATAAAAAGTCACCTGAACTCTGTGGGAATGATAGAACTGGCGTTTCTGCAGAAGCATGCGGCTGGAAGAGAAATTAGAAAAAGGAAAGCAAGAAAATGAATCAGCAAAGGCAGAATTTAGACACTGTTAAGTAGCATAGCTCTCTCTGGGTAATCTTTGTATTTATGAAGAGAAACGTCAGAAAATCTGGAAGTAACCTAAAGATAGAGACATGGGTCAAACAAACAGAACATACCTTTTAGATTCAGAACGTTCTATAGATAACTTCCTCATTTTTGTGGCAGGAAGTGCTGGATCACTTGCACATGGTGCTTTTACATACTCACGGTCAACAGAAGATTGAGCCATGGCAATCGGA